GCGCGGGGCGGGCCCCCGCCTCTTGCGGCCTCAGGCAGGCTCCTGGGAGTCGCCAGCCTGGTCCCGAGAAGAGGCGGAGGGCTGGGTGGCAGCGGGTGTCTGGCTCATGCCGTGCCAGGTGCAGGGTCTGCTGGCTGGGTGCTGGCAGGCTTGCAACTGGCATGAGCACTGTAGCCAGACTGTGCCCCTTTAAGGGCTCCAGGGCCGGGAGGGGGGCAGAAAAGTTTCCCTGGTTTGGCCCGGAGTGGCCACCAGGGCAACCTGGAAAGGACTAGCCTCTAACTAGTTTGAATTAAGTGGCTACACAGCCCTTAATTCAAACTACTTAACTCGAACTAGGCATTAGTCCTCGTAGAATGAGGTTTCCCTAGTTCGAATTAAGCGCTCCGCTAGTTCGATTTAAATTCTAACTAGCGGTTTGCCTGTATAGCCGCTATTAAAGTTAATTCGAACTAACGGCAGTTAGTTCAAATTAACTTTGTAGTGTAGACATACCCTAAGGGCTTATCTAGACTACACTAAAATGTCTAAAGAGGTATTTGCATATCGTCTTCAGATCTCACTTTTGAAAGTGGAGCTTTCAAAAGTGAAAGTAGATTAGACGCTGCTTTTTCGGCGAACCCTCACCCCTTTGTTGAATAACCATGTAAACCTCATTTTTTGAGGAAGAACGGCTTTTCAACAAATGGGGGGGTTCGCCGAAAAAGCAGCGTCTAATCTACTTTCACTTTTGAAAGCTCCACTTTCAAAAGTGAGATCTGAAGACGATATGCAAATACCTCTTTAGACATTTTAGTGTAGTCTAGATAAGTGCTAAGGGGCTACAGGACCATTCATTTTAAGTGTTTTTTTTAAAAGGGAACTGTATCTTTTATGCTGCTTGGATATTGAGGGGAAAGGATTCCTAACCATAAACAAAAGATCCCCAGTTTTTGGCCTAGACTAGCCCTAAAGGACAAATGCCAGGTAAGTCTGCTAGTGAGCTATAAAGAGATTTAGAAGGTAAGAAAAGGAAATGAGAATTAGTTACAAGAATAAAGCAGGAAAAAATTTATACACACAAATGAGTTTCAATGTTCAGTCAAAAGGTAAATGATGTTTTTATGATAGGCAGGCTCTCTGGGTGTGTCTAAACTACATGGCTCCATCAATGGAGCCATGTAGATTAGGCTGATCGGCAAAGGGAAATGAAACCTCGATTTAAATAATCGCGGCTTCATTTAAATTTAAATGGCTGCAGCGCTGAGCCGACAAACAGCTGATCAGCTGTTTGTCGGCTCAGCGCTGCAGCCATTTAAATTTAAATGAAGCCGCGATTATTTAAATCGAGGTTTCATTTCCCTTTGCCGATCAGCCTAATCTACATGGCTCCATTGATGGAGCCATGTAGTTTAGACACACCCAGAGAGCCTGCCTATCATAAAAACATCATTTACCTTTTGACTGAACATTGAAACTCATTTGTGTGTATAAATTTTTTCCTGCTTTATTCTTGTAACTAATTCTCATTTCCTTTTCTTACCTTCTAAATCTCTTTATAGCTCACTAGCAGACTTACCTGGCATTCATTGCCTGGATCCTTCAGAGCAGGGGGCTGGCAGTGTTGGGGGTGCAGGATTCAGGGCAGGGTCTTGGGGATGTGGGGTGTGTGTACAGGAGGCTGGTGGTGTAGGGGATGTGAGAGTGAAGGTTGCAGGATGAGGAGGGGTTTGGGGCAGTGGTCCCATCTAGAATGGGCATTCTCTGTCTCCCCAGTTCCTCCCCCTGGCTGCCAAGGGCATTTTCTCTTCCCTCAGGTTCCCCTTATCCTCCAGGAGTGTTTTCTCTCCCCTGCCCTTCC